AAAGGAAATATTTCAGGCAATCAAAATTAATTTTTTTATACTTACAAAGAAAATTCTAGCTTTTAATCTTTAAAAATGATTGATGCATTCATTAATTATGATAAATCTCAATTTCATACATTTACCTCAAAACAATAAAGGACTTTATAACCTCTCGATCATATTTTCGTCAAATTTACCTGTCAAATCTTTTAAAAGCACTATTTTGTTTTACTAAATAATGCGTTAAAAAAAAATGTAACGAAGAATTGATTAAATTTGAATAAACTTTGATGCGAATTCTGATCTAAATTTGATCTTGTGAACTGAAATTAAGATAAACGACAAAATACAATAAAATAGTCAAATGTCAATATTTTAATGTTAAATATTATTGCAGTGTTTCGATAATACATTGGTAAGTTCTCTTTAAAAAGAAGCCATGTCGTAAACTCTTCTCATTTGTATGCGTATGGCTTTTATTATTTTTTTTCAAAAAAATAATTTAAATTTAAGAAATGTTGAAAGAACTAAATTTATATCTTTTAAAATGGATTCGAATGACGTAAAATGTGTTTTTAATTGAATTGCGAGATCAAATAACTGATATAATTTTAAAATATACATTACAATTGTGAACATATTATATTAAGAAAAAAAAATGTTACAAATTTAAAATGGAACACAATTAAATGAAAGGTTAGTAACAAATATATATATTTATATACATCATATTTTTCAACAAACTAGAAAAGCAGTGTGAGCATATTCTTATTGATTTGAAAACCACATCTACTTTAAGACTTCAATTGGCATATATCAGTTTTTCTGGTAGTAGGAAGCCATGTTAATACAAGTTGTGTGGCAGATTACTATTCTGATGGTGGACAACGCTTATCTAAATTCAATTATTGTATATGTATTGTTCTTAAACGCCAATTTGTTACACAAATATACGCTAATGCACTGAACAATTCATTAGATATTTTTAACAATTGTTTAGTTTATTCCGTGAATCAACATTTTTAGCTACTGTTTAACTTTAGAAAAATATGGGGAAAAGTTTGTTTTTAGTTCTATATCTAAGTTGATAGGCTGCAAAATATGGCAATGCTGTCAAATTTATGGAAGCGTATTTACTTTTGAACTTTTTCGAGGGTAAATGTTGCTAATTTGTTTAATTGAATGGTCATTTTTTTAAAAGTCCAGCTTGCATTTCGTTCGTATTATATCACATGCCAGTTGAACCATTAATTTTTATTTTTTTTTAAATATGTATTGCAAGGTATTTTTTCAATCTTAAATCTCTCAATAAGTAACTTACTTATGTTTTAAGCAGGAAAAATGTTCTACTCTATAGAATCATTTGTTACTTACTAGCTCGTTCCAAAGCTGCTAAGAAACTTCCAATTCTAGATAGAAATGAGCCATTCACTTTATGCATCTATCATATACAGATACGCCAATTCTAACACAATCCTAATGAATTAAAAAAAGCAAATATTTAAGAGTGATATTTCAACACTTGCCATGAAGATCCAATTATATGAGAGCGTGATGAAAGTAAAGAGCTTTGAAGACTTTAAAAAAATATTAATGAAACAAACAGGCTACCTGTGACAATATGAAGATGACACAGTCAAGTTTACAAACAGCAACATAAAAAAAAAATAACAAGTACACCATACATGTAAAATATTTTAATGATAATCCTTAAGAACATACCAACACAATATATTGAACTAAATAGCAAATGACAATAAACTTGAAATAAAATACACAATACAAAGTTAAAACAACAAAAATTTAATAAAGTACTTGGAATTTGTGTGTAATTTATTTTTAATCAGGAAGCAATGACAAAGCAAGCGTGTATATATTTTTTTAAATTATAAAATAAATTTCTTTTGATGCTAAAACGTTTTTTCTATAATTTCTTCAGCATGCGTGGAAATTTAAAAATAAAATCTTTATATAATCTCACAGGATGGGGTAGCAGATTAATTTAAATAAATAGCTTGTATTTAAAATGCAATTCTATTAAAGAAACATTAACGCGTTGCAATTAGGATCCACGGCCTGCTTTACTTTATTTTTAGTTTTGGAAATACATTTTCTACAATACATTTTACACGAATGTTTGGAAGGTTTGTGTTGCTGTTTTTCATGCGTCTAATTAATTGTCGTTTGATTAAATAAAGCAAAAAGGAAATCATGTACCACACGCATATACTGAGGCTAAATAAGTTTCAAATTGCTCTAAAGTATAATTGTTTAATCATTTTTTTATTCAATACCATTTAAAAACAAAACAAAACAAAAACCATAACTTAAACGTCGCTTATACAGTATATTATTCAGAGTTCGTAATGCCATACTGCTATATACTATGATTATTTTTAAAAAAAAACAAATATATGGTAAACATTTATTGCTAAGGAGTTTTAATATTTTTCCTATCTTCAGTTTGGTGTCCCCTTCCAAAAAAATTATAACAATTTCCTTATTTTTGTTCAACATTTAGCTGGAGGAAGACATAAAGACAAGAATGTATACTTTTATGAAAAGAACACATTTTTAGCTTTTACCTATAATACAACTGTATAACTTAACCAACGTTGTATTTAGTGTTGAATGACATACATTATTGGATTACATCAATCGGAAATGTACCTTTTATAAAATATAATTAAGGCATGGAACATTATATAAAATGTGTGTTCCATCCTTTAATCAAGTTAGAATATTCGGAAACACGAGAAACTAGAAAATCTTCTCAAACTTCCTTGATTATAGCTCCTGATCATGAGTTTATAATTAAGGCATGGAACATTATATAAAATGTGTGTTCCATCCTTTAATCAAGTTAGAATATTCGGAAACACGAGAAACTAGAAAATCTTCTCAAACTTCCTTGATTATAGCTCCTGATCATGAGTTCCTCATCTTTGAGGAGCTCTTCAACAGCGACAAGACAAGCATTGGTTTCCTTATCATTGACTACCACTTGATTGATAACATTACATGAAGACTTTATAGGCTGCTGTTTAACTAGATGTAACATAACCTGTCCTGAGCATTTTTCTACACACACACTGATAAGGTAAACGCCATTACTAGGTACAGTGAATTTACCAGTTGATGGGTCAAAGTGATTTCCGTGGTTTAGCCGTACTTGAGTAAAACAGTGGACGGTCTCACCAAGTTTAAACTCAGATCCATTGCTTGAAACCAGAGCTGTGAACCCTTCAGGCCGTTTTGAGGGCAGATTGGTAGGTGCTAGAATATAAGCACAATTATCAACTATGATTAAGAATATTTAAAGTTTAATCAATTTGAGATGTTGATAGCTTTAAAATGTGTATAAAGTAAAAGATTTTAATACATTCATGCAGTTATGAATTATTTTAATTTTTTTATTGAGCAACAAATAAATATATTTTTCATTAATTTTTATATTTTAAAAAAAAGGTAATTTACTTACTAAAATACTTAATCATTCCATGTACCGGTATCTCAGGAGATTTTAGTTCTATTTTTTCCACCTTGAATGTTAAAAATGTAAGTTAAGAGTCTCATTTGTTTCATAGAGTTTAGAAAAGAAATTTTAACACGTTTTTTCTCCAAACATGTATAAAAACCAATTGCATGCCGTTTTATTTCTATTGTTTAACATGTTCAACTTTAATTGTTTATGATCAATTGATCTAATGAAATTAAAATTGTATTGTTTTGTTATGATGTTATAAAAGGCCTTACTGTTTTAAATTGTTCTTCTCGGGCTAATTTATTTGCATTTAAAATATTCCTCAGCTGTTCCATGTGTATCATCTTCTTACTAAATAGCTGATATATCAATCCAAACTGAAAAAGTAGGTATAAGCATGTGACATTTATGTTACTTAATTTAAAGTCAATATGGTCTACTAAGAGCTAAAATGGTAAAAGTAAATAAATCTTTATTTTATTTTGATTAAAATAAATGCTGTTTAATAATTTAAAAAAAAATTAAAACATCATTGTCATTTCTTTCCTGTTTAAATATAACCCTTCTATACATTTTAAATGTTAAAAATTTATATTTTAAAAAGAGCCTTCAAAACAATACGCATATGTTTAAAATTTATTTTGTTGTAAAATTAAAATTTAGGGGACTTGCATTTTT